AAAGTTGAAAGCTTGGTATTACAAGAGACGGCCGCTCGAATAATACTAAAATTTTAACAAGGAACGAAGGACAAACCACAGGTAATATAAGTATTCATAGTTAAATATAAGCACAGTTCAATGAAAACAAATTTTTTGAAAACATAATAGTACATTATAACTAAAAGCAAGTTTTAAGAAATAGAAATAAGTAAATTAATTTAAAGTTAATAGGGGTCTAAGCTGCTGTTGATTAGTAAGAGCTGGATCGGTAAGATACCATACGCCAATCCTGTATTGCTATGTCAAAACTGATTGACAGACTTTAATTCCTATCAACTAAGAAAGTAGTATAAAGATTGAGTCAGACCACTGGTAAATAAACAACTAATAAAGGTCAAGTTTAAAAAACGTAACAATTAATTAAAAAAAAAATAAATATTGTAGTTTATAACAGACACCAAGAGTTCATTATATCAGTCAGTATCAAATTTCATCAACAATGTGAGTATATAAAAATTCAGGCCTCAGCAAAACATAGTTTAATAGCCTTGAAACATAAATATCATAACACTGAAAACAGGTCATTGTGTTTGACGAGAAATCAAAATAAATTTCACCTTTGAATTATTTTAAAAAGAGTTGGAAAATAGTGAGAAATTATTACAATACTTTCTGACTGTTTATTAAGAATAAATATAGTAATTAAAATATTCTTCAAATAAGGAAAATTCGTTACACATACGTAACTATAAACAATAAGTGATGACAAGTTGAGAATTAAAAATATATGACTCTAATATACAGGGTGTATATATAACAGAAAGATGATATATTATATTGTAAATATTTAAAAAAGTACAAGTCCCAATTATTAACATATTAATATTGGTTTAGATATCAATTTATTTATCAGTTTATAGTCAATAGGCATACTAATATGCAATACACTGTAGGTTAGTTTATGTCAGATTTATGTAAAGCTATCACTAAAATTGTCTGCAATAAGCAGCTATACATGTAATTATAGGTTAATGTGCGTTTGGACTTACGCGTAGAAAGCACTAATGCGAACTAAAGTCTGTTTACGGGAGTGCGATCGTTCGGGAAGTAATAACAGTGCGATTTGTGACACTGGAGAGACTCATCACGATGGAGAGACTCATGTTCCACTTGATTGTTGATGTACAGCCACACGTCCATAGTCAATGGAGGACTAGACAGCTACATCAAGAAGACAGGACCAGAAGAATGCTGAAATATACACTGCTACCGATCGATACAACTCTACAAGAAGACGACAACGAAATCCACCTACGAGAAGGAGTAACATGCTCATTCATGAACGGCTATTGCTTCGACTCTACAATAGGCTAAATAACCTGGGAACAGTACAAACACAACAGTTGTGAAAGTCAATTGTCACAACTTTACAAAAGGCACGTTGAAAGATCACTTATAAACAATCACTAGAAGAATTGGTAATAGTAGAACAAGATAAAAACATATTTGCTCTAACGCTACACAAAAGGGCTATAATATGTAACACAGAAGTATGGCAAACTGAACACCCCCGAATCCTAATAAATTTCCTAGTAAACAACAAAATAAATCCTAGTATGCCACTCCTACCCCAAAACGTAGACCTAATGACCTACATCAATAGCAAATTCCTTTACACCGAACAATCCTACCAAAGAGAAACAGAAAAGTTATACTTAGACACAGTACTACGACGATGCCAAACAAAGAGATGCAGCAAACACATACTAGAGACCAATGTAGTAGAAGTATAATGCGACAAAGCAAAGCAGTATCAACCTAAGACGACCACCCAGCAAGGACAAACCAACGGAGGCAGACAGCAACAGTAACGCATCAATATAGTTAACTCGACACGTGGAATTGGCAAACGGACATTAAAACAGCCAAGACGTCGCGAGTGAAGTGCGGACAATTCCCACAGGGATACGCGATAAAGTGTGAACAGTGAACGCAAAACGCGAGTACAATCGTATAGAACAATTAGAATACGCTTGTCGTAATGGACACATGTAATCACGAACAATTGTAATAAGCTAGGAAAGTCTTTCACTTGTTAAGTTTCAATAAGATTAATACAAGATTAACTCAACTTGTCATACACATAGGTTTAATACGGGGGCAGCACGATACATTCGCTGACCACGGTACAATAGTCTATAAGAAACAGTAAATGATAAAATATAAATTGGGACTTATATAAAAAATATATATAGTAGATTGTAAGTAATATAATATGTAAGTAGATAAATTTATTGTTGGAAAAGGAAAAGGCCCCTCGGCCCTTTTCTTTTTTTGCGTAGGGAGTAATGTAATGTGAGCGTAGCAAGTAAGTGAGAAGTTGGAATAAAGGGATAATGGAATAATAAGTAGCATAGAAAAGATAATAATTATTCGAGATAATTATCATATATTCCAAATTAAATAAGGGATAATTAATACAGTTAACTTATACATTTAAATTATACAAAGTATAACAATTGACCTAGTTATTGCATTGTTTGATAATTGTTTTAAACGTATAAAAAGCACGAAACATCCGTGACCCAAATAGACAGCAATAACGCCAAACCTACAACTCGGCGAAAACGTAACCTTGGACTACAACCGGTCAACTAGGACACCATTTGATAAAACCGGGTAGTCGGTAGTTAGTAGTCAGTCAGTCAGTAGTGATAACGGGGCGCCGTAACGGCCCGCCCAGGGCAGTGATCGCCGGACGCGATAGCGTCCAGTACGCGAGGACAGTCGGTGATTTTCCGGGGCCGGGTATCTTCTGTCAGAATTCGCGTGTAGTCCGGTTATTGTGGCACTCGAAAGTTCGCAACCCTCAACTGACCGAGTTCCAGAAGACTGAACGTGTCGTGGTTGAAGCCCTAATATACACATAAGGTAACAGATTTCTTTATACTAACCTGTGTAATTATATTTGTACCTCTGTCAACTTTTCACTATCTTGCTACATCGTCTCCCGACGCGCAGAATAACGTGTTAACGATTGTATTAGGAACTTCAGGGTAGATTCAATATATTGTTGACTCTAATATGGTTTTTTTTAATGTTCCTTCGTCCGACTCACTAGAGACTAGGAGAACACGAGAATTCTGCGTATACATATCTCCGGCTTCAAAAGTAAGCCCATAACCTCTACTCTTTACAGGACCTGAGACCGAGGAGTTCTTACCCCTATCCCGAAATCCCTTATCTTCTCGTAAATCCACGAAGACGAGCCAGCCCTCCAGACCAGTGTGACCAGTATTCCTTGCAGCCGCTCGCAGGGTTAGCATCCCTTGAGGATCTATTGTATTTTACATTTGGTGACAGTCTTTACAGGACCCTATACATAGAAGTCCTTAATCCCTCTCCACTTCTCGTAAATCTGTCTCAGATTATTACAAACGATATGCTGCTTGTGTTCGACAAGTACGTGTTGATTTTGGAGGAGGTTCGGTAATGTTTAGGGCAGTACTAATCTCGTATTTATTGATAGAGGAGCGTTGAGTGCACACTGATACATTACCTAAATTCTAAATGAGCATGTTATGCCTCTTGCTGGGTTTGTCGGCGAAAACTTTATTTTTATGCAAGACAACGCGCGACCACATGTAGTCAGGATGGTAACGCAATATCTGGAAACTGTCCAGATATGTGGAAAAGTCCACATTTGAACAAGATTGAACATGTGTGGGACCAACTCAAACGAAGGGTAAGATACAGAATACCTGCTCCAATAAATCGTGAGCAGTTTCGGTTAGCGCTCATAGAAGAATGGGAAGCTTTTCCTTAAAACGACATCCAGAATTTGATCAATTTAATGCCAAATCGAATAAGGAGTGTAATTCACGATAGAGGTGGTAATACACAGTATTAATAATCACGACTTAATTGTAATTTTATAAAGAAAACAGAAAAAATGTACAATGTTATTTTTTTTATTTTTCAATAAAATTATTATTTTGGAAGAATTTTTTTTTGACATTTGTTATTTAGAAAAATGCTTGCATACTGCTTTAGAACATATTATTCTTAAAAAATACACAAACATATAATGACAATCACTTTGTGATATGATTCGTAAAAATTAAAAAATGGCAAAAGTTTTAGGTGGCCTCTTTTTCGTGACGCGCAGGATATAGGATATATATATATATATAATATATATATATATATATAATATATATATATATATATATATATATATATATATATATATAATATATATATATATATATATATATATATATATATAAACCCTGGACCCAGATTCCTTGGCTGCTAAGCCCATGAATTAGGTCGTCAACGACTACATTAGTAAAGTAGTTACGTAGCAAAGATAAATCATAAAATTTCTTACATGAAATTCGTCGGCTTTTATAAATTTATCGACATCTTGATGGAATTTAATGAAAGAATAGAGTTTGTTACAAAACTCGAAAAGTACCAGAGACACGAAATGTTTTGAAATGAAATATTTTAATCTAACGATTGGTCGACGTACGCTTATTGGTTAATTATTAACTGAATTAGTGTACTCAAATTAATCTACCACACTGCAAAAAAACCTGTCGGTAAAATGAGCGGAAAGTTTCCCAAACTGAACCCCCATTTTGGTAAAACAATTTTATTATTTAATCGTATTGTTGTATGCTTTATTCTTTTATGATTATTTGGTAAAATAAAATAAATAAATGACAGACAATCTGACAGATCTAGCTGCAACAAAGTTACAAGAGCTTCAACATGTAACAACTGACAAAATTTAGAAGTCTCTATTGAGGGACTTTTTATTTTTTTAAAAGCGAATACTGGAGCACAAGAGATCATTTCAATATAAATAGGTATATTTTACGTTTGCACTTTATATACTGATAATAATAATAATTTTTCATATATACACATAATATAAAGTTTAAGCTTATTGTGTATTGTGTAGTAAATATTTCTAATTTTACACATATAAAAGTACGAACAATTCTTACCTCTTACATCCAGTTTGGCAGTATTTTCTCTTAATCTTTCAACAGCAACTTCAGGAAAGGCGACAAGTTTATTACTTCTTAAATCTAAAACTTTTAGCCTTGGCATATTTGTAAAAACCCCTTCTTCAACCTCGCAAATAAGATTATTTTTTAGTCTTAGCTCAACTAACCACTCCAGTTGACTTAAACTAGGACTCATCGTGGTAATTTTATTGAAACTCATGTCCAAAAGTTCTAGAGATCTTAAGTTTTGTAAACCAGCATCTTCGATTTTAGAAATCTCATTATGGCTTAGGTTTAGAGTTAGTAATTGTGGTACCAAATGGAATGCATTAGGGTCTATTATCTTGACGTTATTTTCCTGCAGGTCCAAATTCTGTAAACTTAGTAATGTGTTAAACGTCTGAATAGGTAGCTCTTCTAATTTATTCCTTTGCAGTTTTAACATCTTTAATGACGGTAGCATTTTAATAAAATTCTGTTCAACTAACATGATGTCGTTTTCGTCTAAATATATACTTTTTAGATTTTTTAAATTACCGAATGAATTGCCTTCCAGTATTTGAATAAAGTTTTTACTTAGTTTAATTTCTCGTAAGTTGGTAAGACTGGATACAATAGTGGAGTTAATATTTTTCAACCTGTTACTACTTAAATCAAGTTTTTTAAGCTTTTCTAGTCCATAAATTGTTTGAGGAAATTGAACTAAAAGGTTACTGGCAAGATCAAGTTCTTCTAGATTTAAATTTTCTGAAACATAAAATATTAATTCCTAATCAATATCATTTTCATTGAAGTTAAAATGTAAAATTACTACTAAAAATTCACAACTTATGTTATTTAAAAAACAGGCCCAAAAATTATACATTTTTTTCCCTAAATATCAATATTTTATATAAAGATCAGCTTTATCTAAAAATCAATAGCAAGTCGTTCTTAAGTCGTCCAATGACTCATAGGTTTTAAAGGATTTGCCAATATTTTTAAAGAAAAAATCTTTTCTATGCTTTATCATCATTATGTGCATCATCATCATTAAACTGCATGCATCCACTGTTAGACATAAGTCTCCTTCAGCTCTTTCGAAATGCCTCTGTCTTGTGCTGCTTGCATAAAGTTACTACTAACACATTCAGGTCGCCAGTTCATCTGGTTGGTGCCGTCCTCTGCTATGTAGTGCTTCTTGTCTTGGTTTCCACTCGACAATACGTTTTGTCCATCGGTTGTCTGATAATCTGGCGACGTGTCCTGCCTAATTCCATTTTAGGGAAGCGATTTTTTCGTTAGCGTCTGTTGTTTTTGTTCTACGACGTATTTCTTCGTGTGTGATTCAGTCTCTCAGAGAGACACCCAACATCTGGCGCTCCATTGCCCTCTGAGTCACGCGAACCTTATCCACGACCTTTTTTGTTAGCGGTAATGTCTTCGCTCCACAAGTGAGTACAGGTAATACACATGTGTCAAAAATGTTCCTTTTGAGGCATCTGGTAGGTCCGAATTAACATAGTTTAATTTACCATACCTGACCACGATAATCCTATGCGACATGAGAACTCACGTCTGGTTATTAACAACATTTTTGATTTTTTTCAGGTTTATTATGCTAAAGGTTTGCGACTGGCGCATATCGTGATTATTGATAGAAGCTGTGGCGCACCTAGGGGCATATAAAGTAAAAAATACATAAAGAATAGTAGGAAAATGTAACTTTAATTACCGTAATTTACCACTTTAAATATGTAGAATACAATAATTATTATATAATTACGCAATAATTAATAATTATTAATAATTATTGTGTGCTTATCTTATCTTATCTTATCTTCAGAAAAAATCTAAACCTCTGTTTAGCTGTTGAATCTGCGGACAGAATAAAAGAATCATTAGAACAGTTAAGACAAAACACGGATGAATCTGAATATTTTTGAACAAGTGTAAGCTTTTTGCAATGAATTTGGTATTAATGTCTCTTCCAAAGACAGTAATTTATCAAACAAAGAGAAATAATGTACCAGCATCCACGCCGAAAGAATATTATAGAAGATCTGCTTTTATTCCCTTTTGTGATGAAATTATACAATCCATAAATGATAGGTTTGTGACATACAAACCATTTCGTGACTTACTAAGTGTACAGCATGATGAGAAGATATGCAAATCGTGTTGGTAGATTTTTATGGACTTGATGACCCAAACATAAAGATATAATATTTAACAAACATTTTTTAAAAGATTTGAAACTTAAACCAACGCCAAAAAATGGCCCTTAAAGTTCTTGATATATGTAAAAAGAAATTTTGCTAATCGTAGTCACCTTTCCTGTAATGACCTAAACATATGAAAGTGTTATTTAAGAAATTGTATTAGCAAAGAGAGACTAAATGGTTTAGCTTTGATGTTTATCCAATCAGGATATTCAAATAGATAAAGAAGAGGTAAAAAACCATACGGCTCTAAAGCAACGCCGTTTGGATATTTTATATTCAATTTATTTTGTTTACAAATTATTATTTAAAATACAGTTTAGGATTTAAATTGTTATTTTTTATTATATTTAAATAAAAATACCTAATATTAGGCTCACGATAAGAGTAGACAGAACGAGTCTGTTGCGAGTAGCTTACGCCTACACGACTATATCTGCGGCGGCCTTGTGGACTCTCACGGATTGTGTTCCTCTGCGTATGTTAGCAGTAGAAAGAAGACGTCTCTATGAGAGACGAGAGCATTTGACAACGGCCATAAAAAAAGAGGAAAGGGAAAGTTCAATGGAAAGATGGCAAGGACGGTGGAAAAACACGAAAGATAATGCCCAGAGGACCAAGATGCTTATCCTAAGTCTAAGGAATTGGATGCATTGTCTGTTTTAGGGTTTATCTTCATAGGTTCAGAGACACAGATACAAATAAATGCCTATGCTGCGTATATTCCAACACCTACTCGTATAATACTGGAGTGTAATAGATGTACAGTGGAGAGAAACAGAATGTATAGAGAAATAGGTATGAACCCTATGACTGTGAGAGAGATGATCTTAGAGATGACGCGAAGTAAGGAGGAATGTACTAATGTTCACAATTATTCCATCCGAACAGTAATTAAAAATAAAGAAGAAGAAGAGAAACAACAACCGGACGAACGACAGATATAAGATATAGAAAAGAAAAGAGAGTGTTCCAAAAATGTCGTCAGCCTTACAGCGGCCATCCTACTTTCGGGAGTACGCTACGTGCGACAGTCAACAGGATAACAGATAACTGATAACAGATAGGATAATAGATAACTGAATCTTTGGCACTGCTATCTTTAGTACTTTGAATTCATCAAAATGGAGGTAGCACAAAAAAAAATTCGGTGCCTAACCAAACCCCCCACCAGCACCTTCACAGTGGCACTGCCCTGGAAAATATCCATTAAGGCCTGTTTTTTACAGATTCCGCCTAGACTATAACAAATTTAGAATACAAACAATTTTTCCCATAACACAACCTTTTTCTGTTACAATTTGAAAATAAAAAATGTTATTACGTATATCTGACTTCAGTACTAAATATTTTCTTGCGAGTCATTTTTTCATGGACCTTACCCTGTTCCAATTATTTCTAAAATAATTAAAACCATGCATATTTGTTACGTACCATCAAAGCTTTGACCCAAAATTTCTGCTAACTGATTATAGCCAGCATACAGTTTTCTTAAATCCTTTGCATTTCTCAAAAGACTGGGTCCAATTAGAGTAAGTTGATTGTAGGCAACGTTCAAATATTTTAACTCTGAGATTGATGCCATAGCCAAGGGGTGAATTTCAGAAATTCTATTGTCACTTAAATCCAGTGTCTCTAATTTAATTAATCCTTCTAACGACCGTTCTTGCAATATCCGCAAAAAGTTTGAACCTAAAAAACCCAAATAATGATGGTAAAATGTTAACTATTTATAGCATATTTCTATTCAACAAAAAAAAATAATTCACAATAAACGCTCTGATAAATAGAATTATCTGTATCTACGAACGAAAAAACCATGTCCGATGCATCAACATTCTAAAATATCGCAGACATATATTTTTTAAATAGTACACGTTTATATCGATTGATGGTTGCCAATTTTCGGTAGAAGACAGCCCATAGAGAAGAAGAAATAGTATAAGTTTCCAATTTGATATATACAGGGTACGACAGATTAACGGTCAATTAGAAATATCTCGAGAACTAAAGGTAACTGAATCATGAAAATTGGAATGAACGAAATTTGAAGAGTTAACTGTGTAAAAAAATATTTTCATCTATTTGCTACTTCCGGTTATAATGCAAGTTGCTTATACCTTACTTTTTTTAATGAAACACCCTGTATAGTTTTAGTTTTGGAAATATTGATGAAAATAACACTTTTCTATCATGCATATAAAGTTCAATATCCTCTAACTCTAATTTGAATAAAAGTTTAAATTCCTAAGAAACCTATTAACCACATACAGCTATATCGTTTACAGTGTAAATTTTCCTAATTTATTATACAGGACGCTGTCAAAATTAGCATAAAACCAGCATCCTAAATTTTCACCTAATTTAGAATATTATCCAGAACTTGCCGTATTTTCGCTAAGAGATATACTGAGAAGCCTTGACCAAATCATAAAACTGTAAAACGTTGTTGAACAACTGTTCCCAGTTTGGTCAGTTTATTAGGACAAGGAACAAGACCCACGCCGATAATTGGATATTTTGCTGCTAATCTAAAGTCAACCTTACGGTAATGTAAGCTATTGTTACAGGTATCGACTAGTAAAATTAAAAAAAATTAAAAAAAAAACATCATTGACTCCCTTCTAGTTTAGAGCCAGCTATAGCACCCCAAACCATAACTCCAACAGTGTGATGAACATGTCTTTCAACAAAAAACTGTGGATTCCTCCTTTCACCACGTCGCCTTCTAACCCTCGCCCGACCATCGTGCATGCCTAAGCAAAATCGAGACTCGTCGCTAAAGACAATACTGTTCTATTCTTGATTCTAGAGTGACCGTTCTCTGCACTACTGAAGGCGATTACAACGGTGTTTTGGAGGTAAAGGGAGGACCCAGTGTGGTCGGTCTGAAAACAGGCCAAAACTTCTCATTCGTCGGTAAACACTTCGCATGCCAATAGGTCTTCCGTGTTCTACAAACCATTCATTTGCAATGGAGCTGGTAGTGGAGAAACGGTCTCTTAAGGCCAATAATCTTAGGCGGCGATATTCACGGTCTGTTGTTCTATGGCGGCATCCAGTGCCCCTTGCTCCTTGCGTACGGCCTTCTTGAAGCCATGCCTGATAACACCTAACCACGGTGTCGACACTTCTTTGCACTCTAACTGCAACTTCCCGAAAAGAAAGTCCAGCTTCCCGAAGTCCTATTATACGGCCCCTATTAAACTCACTAATTTGACGAAGTCGTACAGGCCTCCGTACTCTAGGCATCGTAACCAATCGTAAAGAATGTCAAAAACCACAAACCGCCAAATTTAGATCTTTACTGCGGCTGAAATATTCATTTTTAGATTGTTAGTGAATTTAAAAACAAAAAGTATAAAAACCGGAATCTCCAACTGATAAGGCTAAGAACTTTATCACTTGTTTTTTTTTAGTAACATAAGTCTTCTTCTTAGTCGTTAACCTAATGCAGGTATCGTGATATCATGAAGCTGTTAGGTAATTTTTCCAATGTTCCTCCACGTTTTTCTATCGTCTGCCAATTTAGCACATTCTGACAATGGAGCGCCAATGGTAGCAACAATATGGTCCGTGTATCGTGTAGGAGATCTACCTCTACTTCTTTTGCCTTCTACTTTTCCCTGGATGGTAAGTTTTTCAAGACCATTTCTTCAAAGCACATGTCCAAAATAGCTTATTATCTGTTCTGTTATTTGTGTTCTTAGTCTTTTCTTTATGTTTAGCTGGACCAGTATGGATTCATTTGTTCTTCGGGCCACCCATGGTATTCTCAGCATTCGTCTCCAGCAGTACATCTCAAATACATCATGTTCTTTTTGTCTTTCTCAGTAAGGGTCCAGCATTCCGATGCATAAGTAAAAACTGGAAAAACTAGACTTCTTACTAGTCTCATTTTTGTATCGGTAGTAATTTCATGGCTTTTCCCAATTTTTGTTAATTTTGCCATAGCGCTTTTTGCGATTGCTGACCGCCGCTTTATTTCTTCAGTACAGCCTCCTTTGTTGGTTATTAATGAGCCCAGATACACAAATTTATCTACAACAGCGATATTGTTTATCCTAACCAGATGATTTTGATTGTTGTTAGCTCTGTCAATTATCATGATTCTCGTTTTATCCCTGTTTATTTTAAGGCCCATCGTTAAGCTTACGTCTTCTATCAGTTGTAGCAGGTGAATCAATTCAGTTTCAGAACTAGCGAGGATAGTAGTATCATCTGCATATCTCAAGTTGCAAATCTTCTTCCCGCCAATGGTGATGCCACCGTTCCAGTCCTCAGTAGCTTTCCGCATTATCCATTCACCATAGATGTTAAATAAAATTGGGCTTAGTATGCAGCCTTGTCTCACGCCCTTTGTGACCCTGAAACTGTCAGTTAGTTCCCCATTTATTCTAACTCTGGCATAATTGTTATTGTACAGGCTTTTAATTAGCAGTATCAGATGATTAGGGACTCCCATTTCAGACAAAACCTGCCACATTTTACTCCAGTTGAAAAAATCGAAAGCTTTACTATAATCTATGAAGCACAAAATGTTGTGATGTTGAATTCTCTGGATTTTTCTACAATCTGCCGTACGTTTAAAATTTGTTCTCTAGTACCACGTCCTGGAACGAAACCTGCTTGTTCCTCCGCAATGTTAGGTAGTAAAAAGGGCTTTATCCTCTCGAGAATTATGTGTAAGAGTATCTTACTGCAATGCGCAATTAGAGCAATTGTGCGATAGTTGCTACATAAATCTTTCGCTCCCTTTTTATGTATGGGAATATATAGTGATTGTGTCCAGTCCTCAGGCCATTTACCTGTCTCCCACACTCTTTGACAAATTTGATGTATTATATCCACTTCAACGTCATCTAGGGCCCAAATCATTTCAATAGGTATGTTATCTGGACCGGCAGCTTTTTGACTTTTTTGCCTCATAATTGCTGCTTCAACTTCATTTTTGAGTACGTCAGGTTCCGTCGCAAAACTGGCATCTTCTTGTTGTGATGGGGCGTCTGTGCTTTCCTCCATCATCAGTCGTCCACAGTATTCTTCCCATCTCCGGTCTCTGGTCTCAGTTTTGGTTTTATGCCCTTCTATTTCCATGCAGATTTTGTTCAAGTGTGTGTTCTTGTCCTTTTTGCAGAGTCGTTTTATTTGACCGTTCAGCGCTTTATAGGCCTCTTTATCACTTTCACTGTTCAGTCCTGTGGCTTTTAAGCACTTCCTCTCCTGTATTTTAGTCCACGTGGAGTCCGTTATCCATTGTTTCCTTCTTTCTTCTCTATCACTCTTAATATTTTTCGCAGCATTATGCAATATGGATTTTGTTTTTGTCCATATGCTGTTTGAGGACTCGTCTGGATTTAATGATTGTTTGAGGTCACATAGCTTTTGCATTGCGGCTTTTTTGTACGGATCGTTATATCTTAGATGCCATTTAGTTGTTGTATTTCCTGTTTTTGGACTGTTTCTTAACTACATGCGGAATTCAGCTGATAAAAATTGATGGTCGCTATTACAATTTTTTCCTGGATAGGTCTTAACATCCTTAACAGCGCTCCTCCAACAGGTTTTTACCAGTATAAAATCTATCTGATTTCTGTATCTATTTCCTGGTGATATCCAAGTGTATAGTCGTCTTGGATGATGTTGAAAGCCTGTATTAGTAACAAACAGGTTGTTGTCTATACAAAAGTGTAGCAAGCGTTCTCCTCTGTCATTTCTTTGACCAAGTTCATATAATCCGACGGTCTCTCGCAAGTAATGATTTTCTGTAGTTACACCAATTTTAGCGTTGAAATCGCCTACGACTTCTGTGATTTCTCTATTTGGAAGCTTCCTAAGCGTCTGCTCCAACGTACTATAAAATGTTTCGATTTCTTCATCGTAAGCTTCGCTTGTTGGGGCATATGTTTGTACCACATCAAGATTAACTGGACTGGCATTCATTCTGACAACAATTATCCGATCGCTGACGGTTATGTATTCTTTTACGGAGGTTTTAAAGGCATTATTTACTATCACTGCGACGCCATTCCGAGATTCGTTATCATTGCAGGAGAAATAAATATCATTGCCATTTTTTAACGTAAAATGTCCTTTATCCTTCCAGTGGGTTTCAGATAGACCTACAATGGCATAATTGTGGATCTCGTTTTCCACTACATCCAATTTTCCGGGTTCCAGCAATCCTCGAACATTCCACGTACCGATTTTAAGGGTGCTCCATATTTTTATGTTTATTCCAGACTCAGAGTTTCCATGGCGTACCTGGTTTCTCACAACATCATGGCCGGTAGCCCATTTCACACCATCAGCCCCGGAAGCTGATTGGCGCCAATTAGTAGTTGGATCGCTCGGCATTCTGATATGTTTAGAGGTCATCTTCATGATAGTTCTTGGGGCAAAGTAACGCAGTGGGGCCCCACTTCCTTCTGCGTGGTAGAAAATAGTTTAGAGTAAGGAAAGAAAATAGTGACCCGTCCGCCATCGGAAACCTAATAGCCAATCGGGGTCAGAAAAACAAGAGTTGGCCAAGAGAGGCTGATAGGAAAGATAAAAGACACTTTACTCAAAGACTAGTTGAAGAAGAGTAAAATGTGAAGGTTCTCATGCAGCGTCAGATGCGCTTTATGAGAGTATGAGTATTAGTACACCTTGTGTTCCCGCTCATACATCGGGGTTCTGACTACAGGCAGTATAGCTCGTCCAGCATGCTATAGCAAGAAGAAGAGAGTGCACACCATCTCATATGTAGAAGTTAGTACACACCATCCCCATGGCCTGAGTAACATAAATAAATTACACCAAATTTTATTGAAATGAAATCATTTAAACTAGGTGTTCGGATTTCTATGTCACTTAGTATATATACAAATAACAGTGCAGAACTTATAAAGGGTAATACTAAAACCATTGCTATCAGATATTTTTATGGATTATCTAGAGACAAATATTTCAAAACATCCCTTATTTAAACAGTTTTATATTAGTGGAGATACGTAGACGGTGTACTAGAACTAACAGACAAGTTGACCAATTTTTATCGTTTATTAATTCAATTAAATCCATAGTCACTTTGAATTTACAATAGAAACAGAACAAAATCAATCCATCAATTTTTTATATTTAAAAATTATCAGACTTAAAAACAAACATAAGATCTCCGTATTTTAGAAACCTACCTATACTGACACGACTATACACAATTCATCATCGCATCCCACACAACATAAATTGGCAGCATACCATAGCGTGTTACATAGATTAATAGAAATTCCGATGTGAAAATATAACTTTAAGAGAGAATTAAATATCAATAAGAAAATAGCAGTAAACAATGGGTACAACGAACAAACAATTAATAAAATTTTAAATCAAAAACTACACAAGAAAGGCTAGTATTTCCACCACCAGAAAAAAACCTAGTAACTTCTTCTCGATTACATATAAAGGCACAACATAGGCAAATATATTAAAAACAACAAGAGCTATAATAAAAAGCAGTTACACAGTGGTGTATACAAACTTAAATCTGGCGACGTCCGAAAGACTTACATCGGTTAAACTGGTAGAACTTTTAGACAACGTATAGCAGAACATAAAAGGGCTTTCACTAATAGAAAAACAGATTCTACACACGCACTTTACCTTCTAGATCATAATTATTCTTTTAATGACGAATTTCAAATTCTTTATATCCAAAATAAAGGCCTTAAACTATCTCTATTACAATCTATGGAAATTAACAAACTAAAAAATACAGACATCATTCTCAATGACCAACTTAAGACAGTTTTCCCCTCCTCAACCTATTTTATATACCTATTACATATAATAAATTTTGTTGAATTTTTAACAAAGTTGTTTTATTGTTATGTAAGTTAATTTATTAGATCGATAGTTAGAAATGTATTCTTCTAAAATAATTCATTACATGCTTTTAAAGATCTTATAGTTATTAGCCAATCTTTGCTTATATTTTGTTAAATTGTTTTTTTTAATTGGTTGACAATAACCCAAAAGATAAAAATCTACTATGTAAAATAAAAGATAAAATAAAATTAGCAAAAACAATAAAATAGTTTAAATACTGGAATAAATAGCAATTAGAATAAGAAGGTAACACATAATAAAAGGAAAAAAATAAGAAACAATGAATAAGAAAAAGTAAAAACAACAAAAAAAAAAATATAACGTTCAATTAAAAATGAATAACAAGAAAAATCATGACTTTCACAGTTATCTGACATAATTTACACAAATTTAAGTATCCATATTGAAATAATAATTAAGAATAAACACATTGTAATTGTAGCTACTTACTTAAATACAATTTTCTTAAATGGTGCAAGCTTTTGAGCTGATCCTCTCCGAGACTTTGGATTCTATTTCCGCTTAAATCCAATAGCCTTAGCGATGGCAAATTCAAGTCTATAAAAGATATTGAAGAAATCTCATTATGCTTCAATATGAGATGCTCTATATTTCTAGGTAATCCAGGAATAAGAGTTTTTAAATTATTATGACTGACATCAAGCTCATAAAGCTGTGTTAAGTGTCTAAAAGTAAGTGGATGAAAATTTTTAATATTATTGCTAGACATATTAATATGCTCTAATAAGGGAGTAGGTAGAAAAGCTTCTGGATCTATAAAATTTAAGCCATTTTGACTAAGGTCAGCTCTTCTTAGTGCCCCTATGTTCATTAAAAACCTAGGTTCTAGCCTTCTCAAATAATTCTTAGACAGTTGTACGCTTTTTAAAGCAGGAAGATTCCAAAACGGAGCCCTTCGGGTATCAGCGATAGAATTATTTGTGAGAATAAGGTCTCTCAAAGCAGGCATACCTATAAATGCCTCTTTGTCTATCATTTGCAATTGATTGTAACCTAAGTTGAGTTGCTCTAAAGTGGAATGACCCATTAGAGATCTAAAGGGTATAGCATCTAGTCTATTATAACTAACATCTAGATATATTAATCTAGGGAGATCTTCTAATATTGACCTTAGTTGCACAACGTTACTTAAAGCGTTATCTTGAAGGTATAGTTCTTCAAGCACACTGGGTTGATAAAAGCTTTGGTGTTGAATTCTTCTTATCATATTTTTACTAAGATCTAAAGTTTTAAGCGCAGGGAGTATATGAAACGCTCCTTTTCGTATTTCCCCTATCACATTATTAGACAGATAAATTTTCTTTAAAGACCGCATATCTACAAAAGTGGCTTCTTCTATGATACCTATATAATTATAATCTAATTTAATAATTTCCAAATTCGGTAGCTCTCTACTACTTCTTCCTATCATGCCAGGATCGCTGATTTTGTTACCTACTAGTGATAATTCCTTAAGACTAGGTAGCCTACTAAATGTTCGTGGATGTACCCACTCTAATCCACAGTAAGTAATATTAATAAGATCTAACTTGGGAAGATCGTCAAAGACATTAGCCTCAAGTCTGTTTAGTTTTGGACAAAACTGTAAATGAAATTTCTCGAGAGAAGGATTGTCTTTGAAATTTGACGCAGAAATTTCTACTAAGGAAGTCGATTCTACTTGAACATATCTTAGAACAGGTAATCCAGAAAATATCGGTAACCGCTTTAATAACTTTGATCTTATCGTTACAGCTTTAAGGTTTTTTAGATGCATCAAGGATGATTGAGGAAGACTGCTAAGTTTTGGTTCTACTATAAAGAGCTCCATTAGACTTGATTCTAAATCTGCTAGCCAGTCTGTAGAAACTCGCTCTAAAGTGTTGTATCGTAACATTAGTCGCAGTATCTTTAAGGGTGAGAATGTTCGTCCTGGAAGGGAAGGTAAATAATTGTTTTCTATTATTAGTTCGTCTATGGGTATTGTTATATAATTGGCAATGGATTTGAGGCTCTCCAGTACAGTAGATAAATTGCTGTGAGAACACCTAAAAAACAAAATATATCATTAAACCATTTTAATCAATTTGAAGCAAAAGCTTGAGTATAGTACCTATAATTTATATCTTAAGCATAGTATTTATGGTTTACCAACCTTACACATGCTTCATTTCGTGGATAATCAAGTAGTTTTCGCATAAGACCAGCAAGACTTACATATGATGACAAAGCGAATAATACAAAAATACATGCGATAGTCGAACATACCGAATAGTCGTTATCGGAATATTGTAGTTCTCTCTAACTTAACGTAGTAACTTTTTTGGAAAGAACATATCAAAAAATCTGAGAAAGCACGTATAAAGTACGGGGCTGATGCAGAGTATGATTTTGCATCAAGCACAGTTTATGTCTCAGAAGGTGATTATGTTGCCCAGAATCGATATATTCAAAAAAGTTGTGTTTTGCCAAAGCATTATAGTTTTTAACGAAACCTTTGTAACCGTCGGAAAGAAACAGAAAATCAAATCTTTTGCATGCCTCTGGCATGGACGCATATCAGGAAGGAAAAAGGAAGACTTGATAAGTATGTTTCATGCATTTATGTTGTTTATGCAAGATGTAGAACATATAATTATTGGGCTTGATAAACTTTACAGTACAAAACAAGAATTGGTCACTTTTCTCATACTTAATATACATTATCTATTTTAATATAATTGCAGCAGAGAAAATTACATTTAGTAATTTTGAACCAGGTCATTCCTTTCAGCTAACAGTTTTTACCATCAGGTGGAACAGTCTTTGCAGCGAATGAAAAAGGTGTTTGACTTCGCTCATTTTCTGTTTTGCATTCAGTCAACTAATTCCGAAAAGGTTGAGAACAAGGAAATGAAGATGGAGTATTTTTTTCTTTGATCTGACAAATCATCAATTTACAAAATAAACCATACAACATCCCAACCACAAATCGAGTGGTCTGTGATCCCGACCCTACTTAAAAAGACATGGTCGAAGTTGTTGCTAAACGAGGTATCTTTAATTTATTTTATAAAACAAATTTTCCAATGAAACAAAAGAGTTAATTTTTTTTAAATTAAAAGTGACCAAGTCTGGCTTTAAAGAACCTGTCAGCATTTCAATACCAAGAGAAATTGCAAAGAAAGGAAGCTAGAGATTTTGCAAAATTTGGTTAAATTAATACCTAAAAATCGAATAAAAGTTTGTCAGAGAATTTCCATCAACGATGCAACCACCGATTTAGGATCTGACCTGATCATATGTTTATTAAGTGGATTATGTGTTTTTTTAATAAATAATAGTCTGTTTTGACTAATTATTTCTTTTTCATCAAAACGAAGAATTAAACTACATAATGTTGTAAGAAAGTTATAAGAAAATAACTAAAAAAGCTAATAAAACAAAAAGATTTTTGTTGTTATCGTGCTTTTCGTTGAACAAATATTACACTAAAAAGCAATAATCCCAAACTAATTGGAGTTACCCCTTTTTTATTTAATTCCTTCTTGTCGGTTTTAATAATATACCTTCCTTAAAAGCAGTATCCACGATTTTCATCAAAATTTATAAAAATATCTTATAAAAAATAAACTTATTCAATGATATGCAAAATATCTACAACATAAATAGGCTTAACCCTCTTTATTAAAATCTGCATTATCTCGAAACTTACAGTTGAAGAGGTATTGCCTTCTTGTTTGGGACGGCAGTATACGAATCGCCGACGATAGAGTTTTAATCGCTTGTAAACTGGAAGACCTACAAGACTTAGACTGTAAAAAAACACAAATATAGCCAGCAACCACAACAGACTGAGCATGAATATAAATAAAACTAAATATATGAATTTATCATAGAACAAATAAATAATAAAATTCCACGAGGAAACTAACTTCCTGTAGCTGGCTGTATACCATATATCACAAAAAAATTTTTGTTAAAATCCTTTATAAAAGGTATATAAAAATGCCTCAAACGGGCTATCAGAAACACATTGCAAACGTTTTCGGATTAAACAATCCATCATCAGTGCAAACGGTTGTACATGCTAGTAGCCACCAAAATATATGGGTAAAAACCCTTTAAATGTTATAAATTTGAAATTGTTTTACATTATTAGTATTTCTAATTTGTGATGGTTAAGTTACCGTTGGATAGGTAACATGGCGGCGTATGACTCTACATGAGTAAAATGGTCCTGAGACGAAGTGCCTACGAGGACCTGTTGATAACAACTGATCAAAATGACGATCGTCTCAGGACCATTTTACTCATGTAGAGTCATACGCCGCCATGTTACCTATCCAACGGTAACTTAACCATCCCAAATTAGAAATACTAATAATGTAAAACAATTTCAAATTTATAACATTTAAAGGGTTTTTACCCATATATTTTGGTGGCTACTAGCATGTACAACCGTTTGCACTGATGATGGATTGTTTAATCCGAAAACGTTTTGCAATGTGTTTGTGATAGCCCGTTTGAGGCATTTTTATATACCTTTTATAAAGGATTTTAACAAAAATTTTTTTTTGAAATAAATAATAATCAATATCTAGGACAACGGTAGTTTCTAATAATTATGATCAATTGACAAAGATGAACAAGCGTATCAAGATGACAAGAGCTGCCCTTAAAATATAAGATCATTTCTTACTAGTAGCAATCTTAAATTAGAATGACTCGATATTACATATACTTTAAATTATTATCTGGAACTAAAACTTTGAATTTAAAACGATACAAAATCAGAAGCTTTTTAAATGTGGACGTATATACGCTTGTTGAAGTTTTCTTGAACTAAACGTCCAACAAATGGACGTTTAGTTTAGTACATTCTGCAGATCTCTGACAATTTCATCTTTATTATCCCTGGGCGTACCTAGCATTTCCTGAAAATGTTCTTTCCATCTTTCTACTCGTCGGCTCTTGTAAGTAATTCTCCTGTCTTGGATCTTGTTATCAATGGTCGAACTGTTAGACACACAGAATTTTTTGCTTTCTAGCTTTTTCGTGGCATGCTCTAATATTAGTTATCAATGATCCTAAGTACATAAATCCCACAGAAATATATTTTTTCCAATTAGTTTATACAGGGTGTCCCATAATTAATTGAACATTAGCTAATGGGTGATAGCTGACATCAAAATAAAGCGTTTGAGCTCAAATTGCTTAGGCAAAATGTTGCTAGTTTTCGTTCTACAGGGTGATTTATTAATATTTGTTTATATTATTTTTAGGATATATTGAAAACTATTCAACCGATTTAAGTAAAATTTGGTATCTTGCTATTATTTAGTATGCTTAATATGAAAATGATATTAGTTTTACCGATGACACTAGGTGGCGCCACCTACTATAACATTGGTTCATTAATGGGGCCATAATTTTTTTTCCAGCCCTGTATAAACATTCTAGGAAAAAAACATGAAATAACATTCAATTCTACACAAAAAAGTATTCTTGTTTCAAATAAAAAAAGTACACCGTTTTCGAAAAAACGTATTTTTTAGAGACGTGCATAAAATAAAAAAAGCTTATGTAAATTCAAACATTATTCAAAAGGTCTTAAATAAAAGTGAATATTAAATGTATTAGTAGTAGATAATTTTTGCAAACAAAATGCATATGATTGAAACAATTATTTTTATTAAATCTTTGACTCAATAACAAATTTTTAAAAAATCAGAAATTAAATTTAACAATGAAGTGAATATAAAACAATTAAAAAAGTAAATAATTCAAAACCGAAAAAAAAATTACAATAAGTGTTCAAAATGTACACCATTAGATAAACTACATAATCTAAATCTTTTGTGTAAGTTTTGTCTTATTTTAAATAATGAGTTTCTTTGGGCCCTAATTACGTGAACTCCCTGTACAATATTTTGCCATAACTCTTCACGGTTATTTATTTTTTTTATAAACAAGTGACTTTAGGTAGCCCCACAAGTGAAAGTCTAGGGAATTTAGTTCGAGACTGCGTGCTGGCCATGGGTATACACTACCTCTACCAATCCACCTTTGAGGATAAATTTCATCTAGATAATTTCTAACTTCTAGGCTATAATGTGGTGGTGCACCATCATGCATGTACCAAGAGTTCCGTCTAAAATTTAGAGGTAGGTCTTCTAAAAGAGTTGGTAAATCTTTTCTCAAAAAACTTCAGAATATACAATGTACAAAAATAGAATTTACAAAAAACACCAGATATTTATGGAAAACTCTTGTTGAAAGTGATGTTCTTGAAATGCATGAGGATTTTCTGTCGCGTAGGTATGGCTATTGCGCCAGTTAAATACACCCCTTCTAGTAAATGTGGCTTCATCGGTAAATAAAATTTTATTATAAAACATTGGATCATCTAAATGCCGCCCCATCATAAACTGACTAAATCGGAGCCTTGCTGGAAAATGCTGTGGTAAAAGATTCTGTACTGGAGTAAAACGATACGGATACAGATTTTCTCTCCGTATTATTCTTGACACCGTAGATTTGCTTATACCAGTGGCCGCAGAAACAAGCCTTGTACTGGTTTCTGGATCTTCTGCAATACGCACAACAATTTCATCCTCTATATCCGCATCAATTACTCTCGGTCTTCCAGCATTCCTGTTTTTGGGATGAAATGACCCTGTTTCGCCTAATCTGTCAAACAATGATCTAAAAGTTTTATGGTTTGGTTGCCTTCTATTGGGATAAAGTTCGAAATAAAGTTCAACTGCTTTACGAGAACAAAAATTTTCCTGGGCATACAAACAGATCATATCGCGCATTTCTACATTAGAAAATTCACTATGACGTGGCATTTTCCTTTTATCTTAAGTGGTTTATAAAAAACTTAATAGCACTTTGACAAATAATGACTCGCACTGCACTTTGACAACTAATAATAAATAAATTCGTAGTTACCTTTGACAACTAATAATAAATAAATTCGTACTTACGCCTTGACTTTGCTATTAAGCTCACAGCATCCCTAGGTACCTGCTTGTTTTGCGAAAAACAAAATACGTTTATTCAAAAACGGTGTATTTTTTTATTTGAAACAAGAATACCTTTTTTGTGTAGAATTGAATGTTATTTCATGTTTTTTTTCCTAGAATGTTTATACAGGGCGAACAAAAAAAAATATGGCCCCATTAATGAACCAATGTTACAGTAGGTGGCGCCACCTAGTGTCAATGGTAAAACTAATATCATTTTCTTATTAAGCATACTAAATAATAGCAAGATACCAATTTTCACTTAAATCGGTTGAATAGTTTTCAATATATCCATAAAAATAATATAAAAAAATATTAATGAATCTCCCTGTAGAACGAAAAGTAGCAACATTTTTCCTAAGCAATTTGAGCTCAAACGCTTTATTTTGATGTCAGCTATCACCCATTAGCTAATGTCCAATTAATTATGGGACACCCTGTATATAATAAGAACGAAAACGTTTTGATTTTTCAATTTTTTTTGAATAAATTTTAATAAGTTCTTTTAAACATAACAGATATAATAATTTAATTACAAAAACTTTTCATACTTCCTTAAAATTTTTTACAATATATAGGAAGAAGGTTGCCTTTCGATTTAATTTGAGTCTCTTATTACTCCCTGACACGTTTTTCTGGATCTACCCGTCATCAGAAGAAGTTTATAAGAAGACTCACTAAGACTCAAACTAAATCAAAACGCACCTACTACTCTGGCAATTATAGGAAAATAATTACCAGAGTATGCTGCTAGAGACCTCTAGTTTTACAATATAGTTGTATCGCCTACATATCTTTCTTCAATCTATAGTGATACTATCCTTACAACAATAGGTAACCTTTGGTATTTCCTAGTCACCATAAGTGTAAAGCACAATAATATGAATCTTTGATGTACTTTTTTTACATTGACGCTGATATTAACCAAATTATTCTAGCATTATTAGTTAATTATGCGAAAAACCTTCTGAAATAATTTTATGAACAAACATTGAAATAAACCTTCTTGTTCTTCCTCAATTTTAAATATTAAAGAAAGCTAGATTATTCGTCACCAGTAATACGTACAAGATTAGCTTGTGCGCTTATATCTTAACAATTTAATAAATCTCATTAAAAAATAAACAATATAAGAACCATGCTTTAAGAAAAATAAAAAGGTTTTGGATTTCCTCAAAGAAAATGTTGACTTGAATATAGTTTACATATGCGTTCTTAAATATTACATTGAATTTTTAATATCTCTACATTTAAGTATATGTTTAACAGAACTTACCATATTTGGTACTCTTTTCCTTTGATCAAACACCTGCATGGTAAAATTGCTTCCTGCGGAGGACATGTTTTGTCAGTTGTCTGTATTTCTGTAATTAAAAGTGACGACACAATCAAAACGAATAGTTGCGCTTTTAGTCCAAACGGCATTTTGTTATGTTCATTATTTTCAATGACTTATTTATCAAGTGTTCTTGAATGGCTATTCTTATTGAAGACGGTTGGTTTGACATTTTTCATTCGAAATACTCACTGTCCTGCAACAATTGAAATGTTATGATTAAATAGAAATAAGTAACATTAAGCATCTAAGTTAAATATTGGGATACAACCACAATTTACTTAATTTGAATGTGGTTTTGACGTTTCGCTTTCCACCCTTGAAAACTTTTTATCTCATGATTTATTTCTACACGATCACCAATAGACAAGGCAAAATGCTCGTTTGGCAAAATATTGCCATGAGATTTTTTTCAGGTTTAAGAGGTCGCCCAGGGGAAAAGTTTTTCAAACTGTTTAAACAGTTTTTTTTTAACAAATTTCAACAATAAATTTTATCGGACAGGACAATTTTTTTTAATTTTTTGGATCATTCTGAACAAAAAGGCTTCTTGTAGTTTTTCTGTTAACTTAATCGTTTTGGAGTTTACCATTATCAAGTCTCAAAAATACAAGTAAAAAAATGTTATTTTTGAATTGGCCAAGGACCATAATTCAAGCAAACCTTGTTCTCTTATTGTCCAATAAGTATTTTGGGCCTATTTTTTTAAATATTGTTTTTAATTTGGTAATGAAGCGCTTATGAGAGTAATATAAGAGAAAAACAAGATATAGATCACAAATTTTTGCTAGTTTAAATTTTTATTGTACAAATTGTACACGCTTCATTTATCAATTAAAAAACAATGGATTAATGGTTATTTATGCACCAAGGATGGTATTATAATGATTACTCCCGAAGAGCAACATAATCCTGCCAAACGGTCTCTAGCTTAAGGTACGGATGTTGCTTGATGGTTACAATAATCCGGTACCACAGGAGGTACACATATAATATGTATATATATGTATATATATATATATATAATATATATATATATAATATATATTTGGTAGGTGCAGTAAAATAAAAAGTAAAAACAGTTTAATTTTTATATTATGAGAAGTGAAAAATAAAATCTTATATGTACCAGTGGTGTTAAAAATGATTACGTAATCATGTAAATAACTATAAAACCATTGTTTTTAATTTCATAATGAAGCGCGTATGGCAAGGCAGGCGCTCATTTGTATAATGAGAAATTAAACAAGCAAAAATGTGTGTCCTATATTTTGTTTCTATCTCCTAAACACGCCACAGCCCGAGCACCCGTCCTGTCATAAGCACATAAGCACTTCATTAGTGATTAAAAAGCAATATTTTAAACCAAGTTAGGCAAAAAAAACTTATGGGAAATGAAAGAATAAGGTTTTGAACTTAAATTTGGGTTTTTGGTGAATTCAAAAATAATGTTTTTTATTTCTATTCTTGAGCCTTGGAATCGTAATTTTGCGTTTTTTTAAGTTTTAAATTGTTTATAACTAGAAAATGATCAAGTTTACAGAAAAACTACAAGAGACTTATTTTGTTCAGAATGATTCCAAAAATTTAAAAAGTAATTGTTCTACTAAAAAAAAAATATTTTTACAATTAAAAAAAATTGTTTATATAACACTTTAACAACATTTTTTATAACAACATAAGAATCTTTTTCCGAACGAACTCGAGCTTTTCGCTTTGTCTACTAGTATAGTTGAACACAGGTTCATTTAATGAAAATTGTACTTAATAAAAAATATTTCATTTAAAGTGAGAACAGTATAGGCAGTATACATTGAATCTGACTTTACTAACACTTTACCGATTATTTAATTACTAGCAAGATCCTTAATATACAAAGCATTTGGTATCGCATTATCAATATTGTGAAATTAGTTTAGAATAATAGATGCAATTTTTCCTATAAGAAATCAAATTAAAACATATACAATTCAAGAAACTGTATGCTATTAATAATGTAAATAATTCGCGGCACCTGTCATCTCTCCCCACCTATTGAGCTTTTGAGTTTTTTCTGTGCTTTCTGCTCTTTTCATTTACGAACAGCCTGTTGGAATGCCATAATGGCGACTGGTAATGAATACTTATAACACGTCGTAAATCATCAATTTGCCGGTACGCACTTTTGGTGCCTTTAATAACAAGTAAATATAATTGTTTTTATAATAACTAAGTGATTTTTTTACCTATTATGTTTTGTATTTTAAACTACATCGGTTTTTCAGCTTAAAATTAAAATAGACACGTGCTTTGTGTTGTCGATATTTTTATTGTATAAATTTGCAAATAATTTCCAGACGACTGTTTTTCCAAGTTTCATTTACCAACTAGGGCTAATTTTATAATTCAAATATAAACACGTATTTTGCGGTATTAAAACTAAGATCACGAGATCATTTGCGTCTATATACGATTTAAGAGGATTGCTAGTGGCGATCAACACTAGACAGAGTACTTCTGTTGCTAGCGATAGTCAGCAGGTAAGAGAGAGTCTATTTCGTTTGCTATTTTCAAATTGTCTGTATTTCTAAAAGAGTGGGGTTGAAGTGGAAGTAGAAAGGGTTGGAGTAGGGTAATGATTGTAAAATTGTGGTAAAATTATAGTAATGAATACAGCGAAAAATTACATTATTTTTCGCATGTGAAAAATTTAACATTATGTAGGGCATAATTAATTATGTGGACAGTTCCTTTAGAAATATTCTCCGTTTATCATTTCGTCCATTCTTATAGTCAAAGTGTTTAGTAAAAAATAAAATAAATGGATTGAGGGCCCCTGCATCCATTATATTTGTGAAATTTTTATATGTGTAATTTGCAATTTTCTGATCCATTATGTCAACACCTCCTGTTGTTTTTTTTATAGAAATATATAATTTTTGGTTTCTTTTTTAATATTTCATTAATATGTTTTTCATTATAGAGTGTACTAAGCAATATCAAAGCTTTATTTTTTTGTATACGTTACTCACCGATGTAATATTTTCGTAAAATCCAAACCAAGAATAATTTACAGGTCTTTTCTTGTCGAAGAGAAGCTTATATACTGGCGTTGTATTACTTTTTTTTCCCTACAGTAAAATGCTGAGGCCAGCGTCACGGAACTAGCGCCACAAGAAGGCGTCGTCGAAATAACAAAATATAGTATTGGATGAGAATTGAATATTGATTGAATAAAAATTAAAAGAATATCTGCCACGAAAAGATTCGATTCGTAACGATTGTCAAAATTTCATAAAAGTCATATATGTCATCCGATTAATAACATTTTAAAATTTTTATAGTAATTCTTGTTTTAAAATAATTTCATGCTTTGTTAATACGTTAACAGGTGTCGTCAACATAATGTAGAACATTAAAAAAAATTAATAATAGTTTGTTCTAGCAAACAGACAAACTAGTCAGAAACCATCAGCAAACAGTTGGTCAGCGAGAGAAAATAATACTGTCACCACTGCTATATCCCCTTTAATCGCACTGGTCCACTATTCGCTGATGGTTTCAAACCATTTGAAACTGATGCTAGAACAAACCTAATAAAAAACTATTATATTTAATTTTTAAAATACAGAATACCGCCTTCCTGTTCGGCTTTTTTAATATAACTTGTCATTTTTAAACATCTTATATAGTTTGTATAATAATTAAATTTAGTATCCAATGATATTTATTTATATTTTCATATTTTCATCTAAATATAATTTTAGAGCCCAAGAATCCATTTTTGTACCTAACAAGAGGGTGGCCATTAGATATACGAAATGTCAAAAATGACTATAATTTGTTATTTGGATTTTTGAAATGTTTCATTTTTTTTAAATACAGAAACATTGTATGAAGCTTTCTTCTCGCTAGTCTACACTACCGCCTACTGTACCACTTTTGCTTGAATTTCTGTTGTAATGTCTCTTTTATTTTTTCTAATGGTATTAACTGCAGGAATTCCAAGTGACAATAATTTTTCAAACAATTCATTTACAATATTTGAGCCTAAATTTCTTTGAATTTTATTGTCTGGCTTTCTTCTAACATATATTTTTTTATCAATAGCAAATCCACTTTCTGTTTTACAAAGTCAGAACTTAATGCCGTACTTGTCTGGCTTACTAGGCATATATTGGACAAATTCACATCTACCGCGAAGTAATTGTTAATTAATTGTTACATCAATTTTTGATATCAATACAATTTTAAACTGACTTATAAACATATTCCACACATAAGAAATTGGCTTCAACTTATCCGTTTCCAGCCTTTCATTTCTCGTTGTTTTATCATCGAATCGTAAAAATCTTCTTATATTTTCAAAATTTACTTAGACATTCAAGCTCTGTAAATATAATAAGAATACTTATCATATAAGCCCTAAGTATTATTCCTAAAACTGTGTCGTCTTTTTGGATGGGTTGCCAAGTTTTATTCTTGAGAGAACAATTAAGGAAAGCTTAGTGATTTGTGCAGATAATAGAAATGCAGATAATAATTAATAATCTCAGGAGTAATTAACTCTCTCCAAGCATCGATAGAAGTAAAAATCGTATTATGTTGTGTTCTGCTGATTTTCTAACTGGATTCGTAAACAAACCACTCTCTATCATTGGGTGTAATCATCACTTTACCACTTGTTGTGAAATGTAATCTTTTGTCTTCATCGTCGGTTTCACTAGGAATGTCTTCTTTATCTGACTATGGTGCATAATTAGTGTCAGATTCAGTAGACTCAAGAACAATGTTTGATGCATCTCCAGATTTTGATTCATCACTAGATTCAGATCCAACGTAAGAAGACCATCTCAAACTATTTTTAAGCTTTATTCTTCGAAATCAGCATCTCATGGATTTATTGTTAGTTTTCTGCTAGTCGAAACCATAACTAAAATTATCAAAATATAATTATGAATATCATCCTTCTGTAGTTCACATAAGGTAAACTCACCTATTATTTTTTATCAAAAACTGTATTTTATTTACAATACACATCTAAATAAAAGAGAAGTTCTTGGTTCGCAAAACAAGAAGATCAATCAAGCAATTTATTTAACCCAGCCTG